TTTCATCATCTGAGTCAGATGTCACCAGCAGGAGGTTTATTTTCTTTTTTGGTGGTTCGGGTTCTGTAATTTCCTCATCAGAGTGTTGCTCTTTTAAGACTTCTAAAAGCATGCTCCACACCTCGTCCCTCTCAGATTTTGGACGGCACTTCAGATTCTTAAACCTTGGGTAGCTATTATTAGAAATCTCACATTGGTATTTTCTTTGCGTTTTGTCAAATCTGTTGTGAAAGAATTCTTAAAAAGAACATATGCTGGGTCATCATCCGAGACTGCTGTAACATGAAATATATGCAGAATGCAGTTAAAACAGAGCAGGAGACATACAGTTCTCCCTCCAAGGAGTACAGTCACAAATTTAATTGAAGCATTATTTTTTTAATGAGCATCATCAGCATGGAAGCATGTCCTCTGGAATGGTGGCCGAAGCATGAAGGGGCATATGAATGTTTAGCATATCTGGCATGTAAATACCTTGCAACGCCGGCTACAAAAGTGCCCTGCGAACGCCTGTTTTCACTTTCAGGTGACAATGTAAATAAGAAGCAGGCATCAGTATCTCCCGTCAATGTAAACAAACTTGTTTGTCATAGCAATTGGCAGAATAAGAAGTAGGACTGAGTGGACTTATAGGCTCTCAAGTTTTACAATATTTTGTTTTTGAGTGCAGTTATGTAACCAAAAAAAATCTGCATTTGTAAGTTACATTTTCACGATAAAAAGATTGCATTACAATACTTGTATGAGGTGAATTGAAAAATAATATTACTTTTGTTTATCATTTTTACAGTGCATATATTTGTAATAAAAATAATAATATAAAGTGAGCACTGTGCACTTTGTATTCCGTGTTGTAATTTAAATCAATATCAAAAATGTAGCAAAACATCCAAAAATATTTAATAAATTTCAACTGGTATTCTATTGTTATAAGTGCGATTAATCGCGATTAATTTTTTTGAGTTAATCGCGTGAGCTAACTGTGATTAATTGACAGCCCTACTTTAGATCAATTATTGCATCCCAGTAGGCCAACATCCTCTATGTGTATAAAGACAATGAGTTCAGGGCTCATTACTGTCCTTCCTTTAACCTTTCACTACATACAAGACCAAAACAAACATGGTCTCCATGTCTCTACAAAAGAGAATTTTCTCACATCCTCTTTCACTTCACATGAGATTTTTCAGAATGACTCCAGAGCGCAAATACAGCTTGGCTTTTACTGACACTCTCCTTGAGCCACAAAGTACACACTTTCATTTCCGGAGTGTTTCTCTCCTTTCTTCTCCCCTCCCTCCACCTTTGCATCTTTCTGAATAGTAGGGAACAACTACACCTCATTACCAACTTCAAACTGACAAAGAACTTATAAGAAAAAAAAGGTCCAACTTAAACTGATAATAGTAATGTCTGCAGAAATGGATATTTATAATTCCCCATCTTCTGCTGCACAGTGCTGACACCTGATGTGCTGCATCATACCTATCCACACTTGAATGCTCTGATGGTAGGGATACTTGGAGACAGACATGGGGATTTATCTTTCAATATCACGAAAATATATTGGATTAAGAAAGTTTTTCTGAAGAGCAGAATTGATTGATAAATAATTCACGAAAGAGAAATAGGAACTGTCCTCCCTTCACAAGGGTTGTTGCATATATGGGAGCAGTATTATGCATATGTGGGTACAGTATTGTGTTACAGTAACTTATGACATGGTGTGGGTTTGTTACCTATCAGTTTGGTAACTCCCGAGATGATGCATAATTATCATCATCATCATGATGTCTGAATTGCAGCTACTTTCTTATAGTACTTCAGTAACATGTGTTATGTTGTTGGCATCCTTTCGTCTCTGAGGAGACAGTGGGAATTGCAGCCTATGATGTACATGGTTTGCAATGTTTCATGTGACTGAATAGTCCAATCCAAGATTTGCATGATCTTTGGCAGTTATTGCAAATGTATGTATCTTGGTTGAGAGCTGCTTGCTTCCTAAAGGCTCTTTTCTCTTCAAGCTGTAATACCCAACTCCAGTCATGGACTTTGATGCCCTGATGGAGATGATGGCACTACTTGTTACACAATTCAAATAAAAATGGAATTCACTGTTGAATAGGCCAGGTGACAGTGATTAGCAGGGGTCGGAATTAATAGCATTCTAAAAATTAATCTAGCTGTCAAGAAGAGCGTTAACAAAGAAGTTCTAGAGGTAGCAGAGGCTTTGACTCAAGTTCCAACAAATGAAGAGACATCCTGAAATACTGAAGAAACAATTGCTATAAAAAATAGCTATGGAAGGATTCAAGGAAGCCTGCTGGGAAGCATGCACAGTGTTCCTACTTAGGAATGAAGATTACAAAGGATGCTTATGTATTAAGCATAACTCGTTACCTCTTTGGTAGCCATGGTTACTGATGGTGGGAACTTCCACAGATGAGGACATGATACTGAGGACACCCAGAGTTTCATCCTGCGGTCAGTTACAGCATCCTCTCTAATCTTAGTTGCTATATTGGGTTGCAGAGAGGTGGTCTTTGAAAAAAGCCAGCCGAAGCCTATTGAGGGGTTTTTAAAGATTAACACTAGGCCCCTCCAGCAGATCCAGACCAGGCTGAGAAGCCAGCACAGAGCACTGTTATACTATGCTCTCATCAGTTTGTCACCCAAAAGGTGGGCTGCTGCCTGCTGGATCAGTAGGAACATCCAGGATCAATCCTAGATAGAATGTGTTGTCACAGTCTAGACTGGTGAAACTGGTGAATGGATCATTGTAGCTAAGGCTGCATGTGAAAACAAAAGGCTCAATCTGCTAGCTAGACGAATAAGCCTCTTATATGATATCCCAAATCCTCCTATTGGAACATTCCACCTTAGGTAACCTATGGACTCACACTCTCACACAGCCCGTCATACCCTGGACTGGATTCTGATATTAGATTTGAACATTAAAAAAGTGGCAAGAACCATCCTATATCCTACTCAGACCACTTCCTCTTCCAGGAATAAATAAAACACTCTCACAAAGCAAGGCAAGAAACAACCACCCTCATGTTTCCCCTCTGAAAATTGCCAAATTCCAGACCGTGCTAATAGAAAAACAAAGAGCACAAGGAGTAGAATTAGTGAGGCAATACAACTACTCCTTGACTACATTGACTAGACTCCCAAATATCCCCTTCCACACATATTGACATGGATGACCTGTTATAGAAAAAGTAGAAAGGAAGAAAACAAGTATGGGTGGCCAAAAATCATTTGATACAAACAGACCCAGACAAGTAATTTCTACAGACCTTTGCCACTGTTACAAAGGAGCCAAAGGGTATGTTTCCACTGCAATCACAGGGTGTGATTGCAGCTGAAGTAGACATACCTGAGCTAGCTTTAATCTAGCTAGCTTGGGTCCTGGAGCATGCTTGTCCCTTGAGTAATTACCCAGGGTTCCAAGTGGGCTTGTACAGCTTGTGCTGAAGCATGTGCTGCTGAGGCTTCACTGCCTCCATACCCAAGCTAGCTCAGGTACATCTACTTGAGCTGCAATTGCACTGTGATTGCAATGTAGTCATACCCCCCAAAAAACCCTACTTCTCCTCTGCCATATAGCAGCACATGTTGCTGTGAACACATCATCCTGGGGTTCTCATCTCTGCACCGGCTCCCCAGTGAATGCAGAATCCAATTCAAAGTTAGTGGTCTGATTTTGAAAGCTCTCCATGGGATTGACCCGAGCTACCAGAGAGAGCTAAGCTAAGTGACAATTAGAAGTATTTTGGAAGAGCACATGATAGCAGTCTGCAAATATGTGATGGGTGAGACAAATGATTAAAATGGTACAAGGGGCTAGAACAAGGAGTAACGGGGTATAGATAAAAAAGGGAAAATTCAGGGTGAATATCAGGAAGGGCTTTTTGACAATTAGACGTATTAGATGGTGGAATACTGTCAAGGGACATGGTGGAAACCCCATCAATTCAGACAGTTAGTGCTAGATTTTAAAATCTGAGTATACGCAAATTTGTGCTGTGAGTGAAATGGAGCTTGCGAAGTCTCCAGCTGTCCCTTGGCAGATTCTAAATTATGCATCACCAATACAAAATTCTGCACACTGAAAATTTGGGGCAGCATAAACTGAACAATAATCCAAAACTGAGATCTGTGTTGACTTTAAGGACAAGATAAATAATGCAAGAAATAGTGTACTGGTTTTCTTAATCTTTTTAATTTAAAAAAAACCCTTTTTGAATGTATCTGAATCTGTCACAGAAATTTCTAATGTGCCACAGAATTTAGTACTGCCATGCTACAGAAATGAGGAGGGCTTGCGTCAGAATTTAGGCCCACTGTACAACAAAGTAAACAGGACTTACCAATAGCTCCTCTTCCCCCATCTCATCTTGTAAGATTCTGTATATGCCTTTGTGTGTGTGGCATACTGAGGCATGGTTCCATGCAGAATCTAGCAGTATACCATGTTCTTTCTGCCACATAGAGATGTGATGAGGCCAAGTGGAAAATGGAAAAGATTATTTGTGGGGAGCAATCTGTAAATTTTTTCTCTCTCCTTCTCACCCCACAATGAGGAAGACTGTGATGACATTGAGAGACAAGAAAAATTATCGGAGCATACTAGCCCACAGGTGAAATTAAAAAAAAATGTACTTGGCCCTAAAAGAAGCACCTTTACCTTTTGTCCAGAGAGCAAAGGGTCAGCATTTACCATTTCTGCAACATATAATATATTCCCTTTGAAACCTATTAGGTTCCTGTCTGATGGTATCATACTACTGAAAGTTGCCATAGGATGATTGGCCCCCATCAAGGCTATCTTGGAGATGAGGAGGCCTTGTTAACAGGCAAGATAATTCATGTAGAGTGTTATTTAGGAGTCTGATCACTACACGCCAAGGGGAGGAATAGGAAGTGAAAGGTTTGATGAATGCTGCATGTTACTTACCTCTATATTAACAGAGAATTGTTCTTATTTCCTTTAGACCATTACTGGGAGTATCACCCACACCACATGCACAGTGAGTTTGAGAGCTTCGGGGACAACCAGTTTACAGAACTCCAGAGCGTACAGCCTCCCCAGCTGCAACAGCTCTATCGGCACATGGAGTTTGAGCAGATGCATGTCCTAGACTCGGGGATCCCAACCACACACATTGGCCTCAACCACCAGGTATGGTTGTCACTTTTTGCACAGAATATAGGATGACAATAAAGAGCATGGAACAAGAGGCATCAGAGACTGAGCAGTGTTTTGCCAAAGGTGTTAGTGAAATGCAGGGTACAAGTTATGGATCTTGACATAAAACTCGCCAAGGAAAGGGTTAAACAGAACGCCTGGCCTAGAGTTCCACAGAAGGGCTGGCTACAGCAACCACACGAAGACAGTCACTAAGGAAAAGTGTGGGTTAAGCACATTTGTCTGGATGACGGCTCACAGGGTGTCTCTTCACTGCTAAAGGAAGTGTGATTTTTTTTTAGAGCTGTGTAGAGAAAGGGTGATTCTGTTTCACAGAGGATTTTGATATTTGGTTTCATTCCAATTTGGAACATCAACAAAAATAAAATATTCCAAAATTCTCCACAAATAAGAATGGAGCCCCAGCTCTGGGGCAGTCTACTTGGCAGGTTGCCCTGGAGCTGCAAACCCTAAGGTCCCTGACTCGAATGCAGTCTACCTGTCAGGTTGTTCTGAAAGCCACAGATCCTGGAAGCTCTGGCTCCAAGGCAGTTCTATAGATTCTGGACACAATGGTGTCTTAGCTAAGGTTTTGCAAATGGAATTGCAGTTTAGGGCTGACCATAAATTATGAAACACATGTTTTGGTGATTTTCAACACCCACCCATCCCTTGTAACACTTTAACAAACATGCAAAATTAAGGACCCACCCACTCCCTAATACATTACGTAATTCATGGAAGCCCTTTAGCTATTTTAGCCATTAATGTTCAGAGTAAATAGGACTCATGTATGTATACTGTTTTAATTAAACAGCCTAGGAGAAAATACCCTGTGTCTATGTGGCTAATTTTTCTTCCAACAGGAAACTCATCCACTGCAAAGCCTCAGAATCTACCACACAGCAAACACAACAACAGTATGTGAAATGTATAGACTATAGGGTGCAGATGAAAACAAACAGAATCAGGTACTGACAAAAAGACAGAGGGAAAAATGCCTGGGACACCACTCTGCGGGGAGCTTCAAGCTCTTCCGGTTCCAGCATTTAGACGAGCTGCTGAAATTCAGTGACTGACCATTATGTCCATCCTAAGGCTGAGAATGAGCATTGACCCCACCTTGGTTTCGTTATAAACATCACAGAAGGGCAGCAGAAAAGGAGATTTTGCCTTGTTCCACTCACCCATCCGCCTTGTCTGGCATTTTGGGACAGAGGAGATAGGGCTAATTCATCCATGCAAGCCAAAACAGGGAAAGAATGGGTTACAGAATAGACAAGTTAGATCTATTAAAGATGACAGGGCCTGATGAAAATCATCCTAGGGTACTTAGGGAACTATCTGAAGCAATTTCAGAACCCTTTGCAATTATCTTTGAGAACTCATAGAGGATGCACGAGGTCCAAGAAGACAGGAGAAGGGCAAACACAATACCTATCTTTAAAAAGGGAAACAAAGAAAACCCAGGGAATTATAGACCAGTTAGCCTAACTTCGATACCCAGAAAGATATTTGAAAAAATTAACAAACAATCAATACGTAAGCACTTAGAGCAGTGGTTATCAAACTGTGTGGGTTGGGACCCCAAAGTGGGTCGGGACCCCATATTAATGTGGTAGCCAGCGCTGGCTTAGATTTGCTGGGGCCCAGGGCCAAAGCCAAAGTCCGAGCCCCATCACCCGGGGCCAAAGTCGAAGCCAGTGGGGCTTCAGTCGTAGGGGGTGAGGCTCAGGTTACAAGCCCCCTGCCTGGGGCTGAAGCCCATGAGCTTTGGCTTTACTCCCTAGGGCAGCAGGGCTCAGGCAAGTTCAGGATTCAGTCCCCCCTCCTGGGGTCATGTAGTAATTTTTGATCTCAGAAGGGGGTCGCAGTGCAATGAAGTTTGAGAACCCCTGATTTAGAGGATAATAGGGTTATAAGGAATAGCCAGCATGGATGTTAAGAATGGATCATGCCAAATCAACCTAATTATCTTCTTTGACAGGGTTCCTGGCCTAGTGGATAGGAAGGAAGCAGTAGATGTGATGTATCTTAATTTTAGCAAGGCTTTTGACGCAGTCCCACATGACATTCACATAAGCAAACTACGGGAATGTGGTCTAGGTGAAATTATTATAAAGTTGATGCACAACTGGTTGAAAAACTGAACTCAAAGAGTAGTTACTAATGGTTCGCTGTCACACTGGGAGGACATATCTAGTGGGGTCCTGCAGGGGTCAGTCTTAGGACCAGGGCAATATTCAATATTTTCATTAATGACTTGGATACTGGAGACATCAAGCTGGGAGGGGTTGCAAACACTTTGGAGGCAAGGATTAAGTTTCAAAATGACCTTGATAAATTAGAGAATTGGTATGAAATCAATAAGGTGAAATTCAGTAAAGACAAATGCAAAGTACTACACTTAGGAAGGAAAAAAAATCAAATGCACAAGATGGGCAATAATTGGCGAGGTGGTAGTACTGCTGAAAAGAGTCTGGTGATTACAAATTGAAGGTGATGCAGTTGTGAGAAAGGCTAATATAATTCTGGTGAATTAATAGGAGTGCCATATATAAGACAGGGGAGGTAACTGTCCTTTTCTACTCAGCACTGGTAAAGTCTCAGCTGGAGAACTGTGTCTACTTCTGGGAGCCACACTTTAGGAAAGATATGGACAAATTGGAGAGAGTCCAGAGGTGACCAACAAAAATGATAAAAGGTTTAGAAAAAACCTGACTTATGGGGGGAGGTTAAAAAAACAAACACTGGGCATATTTAGTCTTGAGAAAAACAGACTGAGTGGGGACCTGTCTTCAGATATGTTAAGGACTGTTATAAAGAGGATGGTGATCAACATGTTCACTGATGGTAGAACAAGAAGTAATGGGCTTAATCTGCAGCAAGGGAGATTTAGGTTACATATTCGGAAAAAACTTTCAAGTACAAGGGTAGTTAAGTTCTGAAATAGACTTCCCAAGGGAGGTTGTGGAATCCCCATCACTAGAGGTTTGTAAGAACTAGTTGGACAAACACCTTTCAGGGATGGTCTAGGTTTACTTGGTCCTGCTTCAGCACAAGGGGATGGACTTGACAACTTCTCAAGGTCCCTTCCAGCATTACAATTCTATGTTCTCCTCAAAGAGTAATCTGGAGTGCAGCTGTAACCTACTGGTGAATGTGGTTTACAGCGCTCCCTTTGGGCAGAGGCTATGAGTGTTACAGCCCCCAGTTAGGGAGCTTTAGCTCAAGCTATAGCAGCTCATGAATTTAGTGCTGAGAGCTGTGGTTTAATCCCCCTAAGTGTTGGCACACATGGCGGTCATCATACAACTACTGTTACAAGGCATTTTCAAGGAAACAGAAGCAGGAGGCCAACTTTCATCCTCATGCTGAATGTGCTAGTCACTACACTCACTACAGTCATGTGAGATCAAAGCAGTAGTTTGTTATTGCGGGAGGGACATACAAGAATTTAGCTACCAAAAAAAATTGGAACAGTCCCATTATTTTGTGAGACCAAATCTGAGCTCCAGATTGTTCTTGGACAGGTCTTCTTGAGAAAGTTTTCTTAGCTTGCTGATAACAGCTCTCAGCAGACAACACTGTAAGGAAAAGGAAAGGCTACGTGGAAGAAGAAGGAAAGAAGAAGAGTGGACGGAGGAAAAACAAATAAAGAGCATCAATAATTAGGTAGCAGCAGAGTGTGGAAGTAGCCAGCAGTTTCTAAGACCTCCTCTCTCCATGATTGCATTAATCATCTGCCTCTGCAAGCACCCCCAACAGGAACAGTGACTCATTGTGTAATATTTTCAGGATATCGTACATATCACATATACTGAATTTCACACACCAGTGCAATATGTGTTACCAAAAGTATAGCAGATATGGAAAGTATATACAGTATGGGAGAAACTCATTCTGCCTCCTGAGGCACTATCCGCATCTTATCCCTTCCCCTTTCTTGAGGCATCATTCATCCTTCCTCTCCCACAGTACCATCCCATACTCTTTCCCCCCCACCTCCAGGGGCATTGTTTAGCTTTGTCCTCTTTCCCCCTTTTGGTACCACACTCACCAACCACCTTCCCCTTCTCCCTCCAGAGGTATCATTCCCCATTTCTCTCCTATCTGCTCATCTCCCACCCCCACCCCCACCTCTCCCTTCCTTCTCATCCCTGAGGCTGCAGTTTGTTCAACTGTAAAACACTAAAGGTGACTCTGTGGTGAGGTTTGGAGTTTCACTCTGGGGCATCTGACAGGAAACTTACACACACTCTTACCCAATCATGGCCCTTCCTGCCATGCTCGCCTCCAGCCAATCTGCCAACTCACTAACCGCCAGCCACTGCACCCTTCAACCAATCCACTTGCACACTCCTTATTGGGACATTTCAGGATGGTTTGAGACTCATCAGAAAAGTTCCAGTCATTCAGTGTCTGACCCCAGACTGGGCACTGTGAGTCATGAACAGACCATGCACTCCCCACCACATCACCTAACCCTGCGCTGAGGGAGTCATACGCAGAACCCCTTTCTCCCACACCGTGCTGGAGGGAAGGGAGGGTGGTTCAAGAGACCCTCAGTCTTCTGGGTTATCAGTTTAACACATTTCACCAGCATTGTATTGCATGTGGTGTTTTGTGGGGAGTGGAAGAAGTGACCTGCTTACTCCCCTACCTCCTGCACTATTTGGACCCACACGGCAATGTCCCTCCATTGGTGGCAGAGGAGAGATTTCCTTATTGTTAACCTCTTGCATGGTCTGTGTACCTTGCCTGCCTGACTTCCATGTGATTCACAGGAGGATGTAATATACCTTATGGTCTCACTATTACAAAAACGTGAGGAGACAGTGCCCATATTTTCTCCTGCACAGAGATCTGTTTGGCACAAGGGGTGGGGATAGCAATCAAAGAGCAGCTCTCGCATTCCCAAGATCCATCTGCTCCAACCCTGATGTAAAGGGCTGCACTAGCTCATGCCAAGGGATCACATGTCGGTTAAGTATTGGCAGAGCAGAAGTACACTCCACCCAGTCATTGACATACCCCCAACACCAGGCATTTAGCATAGGAACTAGCTACACCAGGTGTCAGAGTAGCAGCCGTGTTAGTCTGTATTCGCAAAAAGAAAAGGAGTACTTGTGGCACCTTGCTGATGCATCCGATGAAGTGAGCTGTAGCTCACGAAAGCTTATGCTCAAATAAATTGGTTAGTCTCTAAGGTGCCACAAGTACTCCTTTTCTTCTTTCTACACCAGGTGAGAGGTCTACATTGGGGAATTCTCAGATGGCCAGTTAGGGTCTGATTCCAGTCATTTAACATCACCTAAGTGGTGCAAAATCTGACCCAGTATGGTACATCCCTCACCTTAGTGCTGACCATTCTCCCTCCTCAAAGCAGGTGAGGAACAGAGAGAGCTGCCTCCAGGCCAGGAGGGATATGCTCCTGCTATGTTAGAACCTTCTCACAGTGCCCAATCTCTTCAGCAACAAGAAAGGTAAAAGAGTAACGGATATATACCAGATAGACAAGAGGAAGATACAGTAAACAGCAGCCAGTTTTAAAATGGCTACTTTGTGGCTACAAGTATTTAGACTTGCCAAATTTAAATGGGCTGCCCTAGAAAGTCTTACTAAGAAAAAGATCCGAAAGAGGGTGGCCCTGGACTGGGGAAAGTTAACAAGGACCAGGAAGTCACCAAGAAATGTGCTGCTTCTGTATTTACCCATATCACAAGCATCATGTTCCCCCCTTCCCCCCCGCCCATTTAAAGGTGATTGTTGTGAATCCTTCCCAGAAGCTCTATCTGGAGAAAGCTCATCCCAGCAACTCCCACCCACAGGAATAATCTGTCACCCAAAGACACCTGTTAAATGGATATACTGTCTCCACATTAGAAAAGTGGTGGAGTCTCATCCTGTCAGAAAAATAGATACTTTGCATGACTATTGCCACATCCCTCTAAGAATTTCCTTTACAAGCAATACATCCACCACCACACCCATAGCAGGCAGGAAGATACCACAGTGATGGGCATGTAGACCTGATTAGAGAGAATTATCTCTCTTGTACAGGTGAAGAAACCAAGGCACAAAGAGGTGCCATGATTGTGCAGGGCCTAAACTAGAACTCACTTCTGTCTTCCACTGCTTCATCCTCCCTCTCTTAAATGGGCCACGACTGCTAAGGACAGTTTTTGTTCAACTCGATTGGTCCTCTGAATAGGTTTAAACCATACAATATTTAAGTGACAACAATTAAATCTCTACTTATGATCTTAAATAATCTCATGCACCTGTCACTCTCTCCCTCCCTTTCTGTTAATCTCCCCTCACACCTACCCTTTTCATTTTTTGCCCCTTGCTCTGTCACTTTCTCCTCCTCCCGCCATTCTTCCCCTCTTCTACAGGTCTCCTATTTGCCTCGGATGTGCGTACAGTACTCCTCTCCACATCAGCCCAGCTCTGATGAGGAGGATATGGAGAGGCAGAGCCCTCCTTTGGAGGTATCGGATGGGGAGACTGATGGTGTGGACCCACGTCCTGGAATTATACATGGAGAGCCAGGTCAGTAAACCCAGAGAGGCTGCATTGAGCCACAAGAGTGCAGACTGTTGGTATGATGTTGACGGATGGTACTGAAGAATTAACTATGTTTGCCCCTTCACCCAACCTCTAGAAGCTTCAGTTTCCTCTGGCTCCTCACCCACTTTCTTATCTTCTGAAACCTTTGTGGCTCCATCCCCATCTCTCTCTCTCTCTGATCTTACCTCTCCTTGTATACCCTTCTTTTCTGCTCTGCTGATTCTGGCCTCATTTCAGTCACCCCTTGGTCCTTTCCTCTGCCAGAAGTTGATCTGCTGCCTCTGCTTTCTGGAACAGTTGACCTGCCTCCACCCCTCTGACTCCCCATCCCTTTCTAAAAAGCACTCAGAACCCATCCCTTATATGCAGTCTATAAATAGAGTGTGTTGGCTAGTTACCCACACTTGATTCATATCGCCAACCCTTCACATCTCTCACAGGGCCTGATCCTAACCCCACTGAAATTAATGGGAGTCTTTCCACTGACTTTAGTGAACTTTGGATCAGGGCCCTAGGCCCCTGCCCCTACCTATTCTAACTTTTTATTGTTGTAATAAATACCTAACATTAATATAGAGCTTTATATGTTGAAAGTAATGCACTGGTTTTAATCCGCAAAACACCTCTGGAAAGTAGATATTATCCCCATTTTATAGATGGGAAGACTGAGGCAGTGAGCTTAAGGGTCTGATTTTCAGAAGTGCTGAGCGCTTACAACTTCACTTGAAGTTGATAGGAACTGTAGATGCTCAACTCCTCTGAAAAAAACCAGATAACTCACTTGAGTTGCCCAAAACCACAAAACAAACCGGTGTCAGGGCTGGGGCTAGATCTCAGGAGTTACTAGCTCTTATACCTGTGCTCAGTGCACCAGGCCACACTACATCCTTGCATCATCTATCTCTATAACTGCTGTACATTGAAGAATTTCTGTGAATAGCCTGTTAGCAAAAACAACAATATGAACTGTGCAAGTTTCCTCATTCCATGCTACACACTTGAAACCATGAAGCTGTCTCACTACTGCCTTCTCTCTCTGACCCTCACACAGGCAGCAAGAAGAAAATCCGTCTGTATCAGTTCCTTCTGGACCTTCTTCGAAGTGGAGAGATGAAGGACAGCATCTGGTGGGTAGACAAGGAAAAAGGCACTTTTCAGTTCTCCTCCAAACACAAAGAGGCACTGGCACACCGCTGGGGGATCCAGAAGGGCAACCGCAAGAAAATGACCTACCAGAAGATGGCACGGGCACTGAGAAACTACGGCAAGACGGGGGAAGTCAAGAAGGTCAAGAAGAAGCTGACCTACCAGTTTAGTGGAGAGGTAATGGGAAGGGGAAGCACTGATAGGAAGCATTATCCTCACTGAGCACAGGCCTTGGGACCCTGAGCAAGCCAAAAAATGAAGACCTCCTGGCTGGATATTGGCAGAGGAGACGGACGCATCTTTCTCTTTGCTTCATGTGCCCACTTCTCTACCTTGTCAGGGCTTTTAACGTCCGATATTTCTGGTACGAATTCCCTTCTTCAGCACTTGAGAATCCTACAGATAAGAGAATTCTGCTTCCATCCAACAAGCTGGACAGAGTTGGGAAATTTTAAAAGTGTATAAATATATTATTGTCAGAAAATATTTGTTTGATTGTGTTGTAATTAATGGATATAGCTGATGAAGTTTTGCCCTTCAAAGGCAGTGCTGTGTCATCTTCAGTGACACTGCATTAGCTTACAGCTTTTAAACTAGCATTAATACAGGCTCTGCCGCAGCTCTCAACAGCTAGAGAGAAGTTTGCAGATCTTGGAAAGATACCTGTTCTGTTTAATAACAGTAATAACATGTATATATTTAATAAAATTTGATATAATGAAGTCTTGGTGTTTGCAATGACAGATGGCTGCTTCACAAACTAGTTTCACTTGCATTTACACAGTATCAACTCAAGTATGGTAACTGGGTATAGAGCAGAACAGGTTCATGTCTCCATGGTCTTCTTGTTTCCCTGGAAATGTTGGAAGCATTCTCAGACTATGAAACAAAAGTGAGTGGGGATCACAGTATAGGAGGTTGTAAAATCCTAAAAGTCACTAGGAATCTGAAAAATGCACACACTAAAGTCTCAAATCACCACTGCCATGCATCCTGTATCATCATTTACACCTGTGCATATTAAATGCAAAGAGGGTACAACACACTACCAATTCCGAATTTTCCACTCACTTATACTGATGGTTGCAATTTACAGCCACACATTGCTTTGAACGTAATTGGCTTACATTAACCCATGTTGGGGTATGTCTACACCCCATGGTTTATCTGTACATGAAATATTACAGCAGCACAGCTGCAGCACTTCAGTGTAGACACTATCTACACTAATGGGAGCGGTTCTCCTGTTGGCATAGGTAATCCACCTCCCTGAGAGGCAGTAGCGGGGTTAGGTCGGCAGAGCTATGTCTTTCAGGGGCATGGATTTTTCACACCCCTGATAGATGTAGCTCTACCAAAGTTAAGTTTTCAGTGTAGACCAGCCCTTATTCCTCTTTCACTCATCCTCTTTCTTTTGCTCCTTCCTAGGCTATGTCTACACTACCACTTATGTCAGCAAAATGTGTGTCTCTCAGGGGTGTGAATATTCCACCACCCCTGAGCGACATAAGTTACGCCGGCATAAGAACTAACATTCACAGCTCTCCCACAGACATAGTTCATCCACCCCAACGAGTGGTGGTAGCTATGTCGACAGGAGAGCTCTCTCCTGTCTGCACAGAATGCCTACATGAGAGATCTTACAGCGGTGCAACTGCATCAGGATAGCTGTGCCGCTGTAAGTTCTCTAGTGTAGACATAGCCCTGTTTGTTACATCCACTGTTGCATTTTGTCTTAATTTAGATTGTCAGCTCTTTTGCATAGTGACTGTCCTTTTACTGTGTCTTTTACAGTGCTTAGCACAATCAGTTACAATCAGATCTTAACTGTGGCCTTTAGGCACAATTGTAAAGCAAATAATAAACTAATAACTCTGTACTGATATAAGTTACTTCACAGTGCAAAGTATTAACCAGCTTTACTGGATTCCATAAAAACAAAAACAAACAAACAAAACCAGCCAATTTTAGGAGAATGTTAAGACTTCATGGCTCTAGTTAAGCTCTCAAAAATTAGGAAATGTCACGGTTAAGATACCATGTGAACTTTTATTCCTTCGCCCCTCCCTCTCCCCCGCCCGTGTACATGTATTACAATAGTCTAGTTACGTGATCTCAGCCTACCAAATAATTTTTCTGCAGCCTGAAATATGAGGTATCTTGACAAATAGTCCATGAGTATTGTTCAAGATGCATAGTATATATTCACAGCTTATAATATGCACCTTGCATGATTGTAGGAAAAACTGTACAGTTGGAAGGTGTAACAAAGGTCTCTAAAACAGCTGGAAGAGAGATTACATACCATAATTCAGGAGAGCAGACCAGACTGAAAGCTGGAATTAAAGAGCCTGGTTCTTATTTAAGCATATTCAATAGTGACATAGGCTGTCAAACATGGTGATGAGGAAGACATGGGCAAATAAGAAACTTTAGTTTCTTAGAGCTTGATCCTGAGAGGTGCTGAGCACCCTCATGTCCCATTGAAGCCTGTGGGAGACGAGAGTGCTCAGCACCTGCAGGATTGAGTCTTTAAAGTTATATTCCACATTAGTCAATTTTGTCTGTAGTAACAGTCCCATTGGGGAAGTGAAGAGACTGATGTCATCACTGTGCAGTGGTAATTCCCTGGAACCAGACAGGAAGAAGCAGCTGCTTTAACAAAATGCACAAAGTGGTTTTTTCCAAGTATGTAACTTTTTCCAGTGTCTTGATTCAGGAACATGACAAATATATTTATTGATGCTAGAAATCTGAGAATTACAGCTAGCCAAGAGTTTCAGAACTTTATTGACAGCAGCAGTTGCTAACAGGGGGATTGTTTTTTCTTTTAATTTTCTAAAAAATCTTGAAGCCTGTCTTTAAATCAGTGCTCTTCAGAAATCTATTTGCTGTTAGTTGAGCATTTATATGCTCAGATGGTGTCATGTTATAGCAGAGATTGTAAAACTGTCCTAAGGGAAGCATTTTATAATTTTAGAAGCAACTTAGTGATCTGCTTTCTATATCGCACAACACTATCACCATTAAACTTAATTTGCCTCATTGTGGTAGGCTATATGGGCTGGTACCTCTATTGGTCCAGAGACAGTTCTCAATGGGAGGCCGGAACAACTCCTACCAATGACTGTCTTCAGGATTTCTTCAGTGCTGATTTTGAAGTTGAGAGCTTCTTCCCTGGTCATGTCTTTTCTCTTTGGCACTGAGGGTGACTCAGCTCCAGGAACTGTCTAGGAGCATGACATTTGTCCCTCTCTTACCTGAGTTAAGAGGAAAGAAGAGAATTCCTCATGAAGATGTGAGTTATGTCCTCATCCCAAACACAGCTGGCAGAGCACAACTGTCCTAGAATAGCCTCACAGTCGCTGATATCAGAGCTTGGTAGACAAATATCATTTCCTCCTACAGGGAAACTATGATGATTCAAACAGAGCAAATCTGTGATAGACAATATGTGAGAATGGCTGGAAGATCTTAAATCAGGTATTTCAAGCTCACCAGGGAGTTCTCTCAGATATCAGAGTTCCCATTTGCTTTTCTGTTTCTCCAGGAAGTAGCAGAAAGAGAAAATAACAAACACTGAAATTCAACAAAATTCAAATTTAAAATGAAAAAACTCTGATGAGCAATTTGAGATCTGACAGCCAAAACTCTGAAGGAGGGGAGGCCTGAGCGCTTCCTTAAAAATATGACTTTCGAGCAGTTGCTTTGATCTCTAATATAAAGCTTCAATGCCTACCGTAGTTTTAGGTCCATGAAATATGGAGCTAGACTCTGCGTGGGGATCTCTGGAAACAATTTCATGGGGAACAAGAAATATTTATTGTTAAAACATTTTTTGCAAAGAATTCTGAATGTAATTTTAGCAAGTAGTTTAAAATAATGGTGTTAAGCTCCAAAGCCAAGATCTTTTTCTCTTCCTCAAATTAATGTTTTGAAATATTTTTAGAAACAATATTAAATCCCCATCTGTGTCGGGTTAGATTTGTCATCTGTAGCATAGGGGTTTGAATAGTCAGGTGCCCCAGCTGCCAAGGGAACCAAAAGACGTTTTTTCTCTGTAATAGTATCTGTTACATCTCATCCAGCTGAACTGTTCTAGATAGCTGTCTGTCTGATGAAGCTGAATTGCCTCCATCCCATCACACACTCAAACAGGAGCTGTTCTGCTATTTTAGAGAGAAAGTTTGAGCAAATATGTGACAGCTTCACTAGCTTCAAGGAGACTAAGATGAAGTAGAAAACAGTGACCTTCCCATCTTCTTTGGCTGAGTTTGGCTCAGTTACATGGGTGCTGAAGGAATTTAGTCTGGACAATAATCAGCAAAGTGAAACCATGATTAGTAAAACCTTGTAGGAATATCTGACAGCCACGGCTGATGGAAGTCATCAATGACTCCCTCAAGCAGAGTAGTCATTCAGTCTGCAGATATGCATATTCTAATCTGGTCTGTGTTCAAGAAACCCATTCTTCACTTTATCTGTCTTAATTACTGTCCAGTTCCTAATCAATCCTTTGAGAAATATTATTCAAAGAAAGTATTAGCGAGCTGACTCTAGCAATATCTATCGTCTTACAATGTTTTGACCCTTTCTGATGAAGCATCAGGCTAGGGAAAGGTGGAGAAACTGTGATGGTTGCATGAGGGACATTCCACTTATAGCCATAGATAGAGGTAGAGCATTTATGCTAGTACTGTGCAACCTGTGAGCCACCTTTTGACACCAACAGTCATGAGATGCTGCAGTTCTACCTCAGACTCAGCATAAGCAGGACTATGGGGGGACAGGAGAGTGAAGATGTGGAGTGGAGGAAATGAAGCAGGGAGGAGGTGAGAGAGAATGCAAGAAAAGGGTGTGTTATGGAGGCCAGCGCTATGCAAAGGATTAGGGGGTGGGGGGTTGTGGTGAAGAGGAATGAAGTCTCTGAGATTTAAGGATTCCATCTAAGCTCCTGTCTCAGCTCCCTGGGCAGCACTGCAGTAGGACTGAAACTGTGGTCTGAGAAGTCTTTCAAGCACTGATGTCTTGGTGCACAGGGACTGGACTCCCCACTCATACCAGAGTTTTGTCGGCAAAAGGCAGCTTGTGGTGGCAAAACAGTGGAGGTGTATATACTGCAATGCCACTTTTGGCGACAAAACTTCAGTTTTGGCCACAAAATGAAACCACCTTGACGAGAGACATAGGGCTTTTGCGCAAAAGGTTTGTGGACAAAGTGCCAGTGTAGATGCTACCATTCATTATGTCGACATAACTGGCCTCCCCCAGTATCCGACAATGCCTGCTGTGGCCACTCTGCTCACTGGTTTGAACTTGGCAGCCCTGCAGGCATGCACCCCTCTCCTTTCAAAGCTCCGGGAAGCTTTGACATTTCTCAATCTGGAGAGCTCACAGAGCTGCTGAGGAGGTTCTGGGAGAACTCAGGGAATCACAGAATCATAGGCAGACAGGCAGACTGGGCTGCTGCTGCTGAGGGGGCGACTGCTGTGCTGTGCAGAGCCAGGGACTGATGGAGTAGCAGTGTCCCCTTCCCCAGGATTGGTTGTTCAGGCTGCTGTCTGAACTTAAAGAGACAGCATGCCTACACACTCTCCCCCAACACACACACTTCCTTTCTCACATATACACTCCCCTCCCCCACAATCTTTCACACACTTCCCCAACACGCACTCTGTTCCTGTCACTCCCTACAACACGCACACACTCTCCCCCTCTTCTC